GTTTTATTTATTAATATCCCACGGCTGGAAACATACAGGATTGTGTGCCTTGGCAGAGTTGAGCTTCAGAGGGTCCCTCCACTAAATTAGTCCTCTAAAACTTACAGCTTGGACACATATCCTAGGCACGAAGGGCAAAATTCTCTGCTGGCTACTCTAGAACCAGCAACAGCTGAAGGGGCTGAGGGACTGTCCTGATTTTGTTGCACTATTAGGAAATTTTTTGTAATTGTGGACATTTGGAAATGACTTTCCATGTGAAATCAAGCTCTGGTGCTGTTATGGACTGGGTATGTTTTGAACACTTGCTCCAGTTGAAAGGTGCTTTGGTTTTTGGTGAGGACAGATGAATAAATACCCATTAGCAATTAAGATGTGTGGAGCAGGCATGGTTTCATGTGAACAGCTAGGCAGGATTGATGGTAAGTATCCAGAGGTGGAAGGGCAATGCATTAACCTACATCAGCTCGCCTCACCTCAGAATACCTTCTTTGAGTGTTTATGTTCCACTGTAGCAGGAAACTGAAAGTAATTTTGATCTTGCTGTCAGGAGACCTTAGATAAATACGATGTAATTTTCAGTGTATGTTTTAAGGATAATTTGTATGAATAAAGCCAATGGAAAGGTCTGAATATCAAATGGACTTTGGGTATATCCTTTTATTATCCTTTCGTTAACATTTATTTATATAGTAAAATACTTGAAATACCTCTCTTAGCTTTGCTTTTGTTAAGTACTGATATAAAATACTTTTCATGAGAATGTATATTAATGGTTTTTTAAAGTACTTCTGTTGCTTACTGTAATATTCAGTTATTATGAACCATTTCTCAGGAACTGTCAGGAATTTAATATTCAGAAATGGACCTTCCCCTCATCCCACACACTTTTTTGTTTGTATGGATAGTGTGACGGGGTTTGAAAAGATTTGCAGTATCTTCTAAATTAGCACATACTCTGTTAATATAGTATTGGGATTTTCAAAATATGTAGCAATCTAATATTGTTTGTCTACATTCTTATGGCCAGTCTATTTATCATTCCTCAAAAATCTTTCCTTTCATTCTAATAACCGCAATTCTTCCATTGAGCTCGCAGTGGTTTGATGTTCCAAAGTCAGAGCAGCAGTGCTGTAGCTCTGGCAGTCGGTATTGTTTTGGTCACGTTCCTGCTCAGCGCAGGGATCTCGCCCGTGGTACAAGCAGGGTGCTGTGGCCCTGAGCTGCTGAAAGGATGTGCAGGAGAAGGTGAGGTGGGCCTGTGCAGCTCTGAGCTGGAGATGTGCTGCCATGGTTCCACCATGACAAACACCTTCTGCAGTGGGAGGCAGCTAGAGGGAAAACCCACACCTGTCTGAGCACGTCTGCACCTGCAGCTGCATCACTGGCTGTCTCAGGACAAGCAGAAAGCCTTCGTTTTGAGTTTAGCACTTTAAAAGCACTGACCCTGAGCAGACACAGTTTTTCAAGGTACGTTTTAAAGAGAGCTTACCCAGCTCTGGTACTAAAGAAACTTATTGCTCACGTAGCTGGGGAGCAATTCCTCTTGCCGGTTCTGAAGACTTCATCCCCACAAACGTGATGTTGTGCAAGCTTAATCGCTGACCTGTGCTGTGACGGGAGATGGCCATGGAGCTACTCCTCCTAGAGTTTAATCTGGATGCAATTACTTGCCACTGAGCGTTTCCTTGTCCCGATGCATTCAGAGACAACATGTTGCCTTTTCAGCAGAGATTTCTGTTATGAGAGAGGCACCAAGGCCACCCCGGGGCGATGCTCTGCATTGCAAAGGAGAGCAGTGAGCCCAGAGACACCGCCCGGGTGCTCATTCCCGAGGCAGAATGGAGAGCAGGTCTGAGCATTCGATCAGCTGTGGGGAACAGTAATTACTCAATGATAGTCTCACGTAATTACTGTAATTAAAATATAAAATACATTTTATTTCTCGTTTTTCTAGGATAGCCGAGTTTATTGCTAGGGCTGATGCTGGTTTTGCCTTATGCCGTGCCCCCAGTGAGGGAAAATGGATCTAGATTTTTTCAGAATGTTAATTTAAGGAGGGCTCGATTACGTCCTCTCTTTAAAACAAATGGAGTAGTCGTGGAAAGGGGAAACAGTGACTTTTAAAATGCAAACTGCATGCATCAAGCTCTACTTTTAAGAATTTATTTTGTCAGTTCCAAGGCAAACGTCGTTATCTGTTCCTTTCTGAATAGTCCCCCAGCCTGCTTTAGATACCGTCTGATCTAATGATAATATATCTGTGCTGTTTCATTTCCAATTCAATGAGTAAGCAAGGAACAGTGTTTCTTTATAGGTCTTAACGACCTTAAAGCCCTTGGTAACTTTGATATTACCATAAAGAAAGAAAATATCAAGGCTGCTTGGGTTTGTGACTGAGTGGATGTTCTGTCTGGCAGCGAGCCATTGCCGCGCTGCCAGTCAAGGCAGGAGAGAAACTGCTGACAGGACAGGAAGGGAAGTCTGGTACCTCTGCTGTCAGCCGAATCACATGTGATCGGGGCATCGTAAGTAGACAATAATTTGACGCTAAGAGGAGTGTTATCATCTTCTCTGTGTGTTAAGTATGAACGGCAATAAAGTGAAATAGTTCCTTCTCTTTTGAGAGGTGCCATAACAGCAATGACTCCAATAAATTACATGGCTCATACAGATATTTTTGCACTTGAAATTTATAGAAAAATGTTCTTTACAAAAAAAATTTAAAATATGTATATATCTCAGTTCCTGATTTATTATTTGGTAGAAACTGAAGGAGTACTTGTGCAACTGAAAACATGAATTAATAACAACTTACTCTAATACAAAACCACCCAAACAGGAAGATCGTTAGCACACAAAGCTCACAAAAGTCTGTAACTTAAAAGTGAACAGCAATTTTTAATATAACTTGATGTAATTTTGATTCTGCATCCGCTAGAGGCAGGGAGCTTCTGGGTATTGGCTTATGCTCTTCTTTTATAATGAGGCTTTTGCATAGACTTGAAAATCAGAACCTGTGCTAGTGAACAGAGGAACCATTTTGAGGAAAGTTTGGTCTTTGTGACATAAGTAATTGCTTTCCATGGATACAGCTCTGGCTCAGTCCTGAGGCAGAGAGCTGGCACCTCGAGTCAGCAAAACACTTGTTCCGAGCATCCCCTTGCGCAGTCCTACGTGCAGCATAGACTTTCTTTACATTTGAAATTTTAGCTCCCATTTCCAAAGCACTGGTGAAGTAGGGTGAACCAAGCAGAGGCTGAAAATGTTTGATAGTATGTTACAAAGAATTAAAAGATACTAGCAAACTCACTGTTTGTCTTGGAAGAAATAATTACAGCACATTAGTCTAGTTTAATTACTACGGTAGTTTAAGTGACTTGTGTATTTTTGCTGTAATTATAGTGTCACTAAAGCTGCAAATCCTGTAGAAAAATAAGTAAATAGAGCCTTATTGAAGCAGCTGTTTAGGCAATTATTGTGGAGCTAGCATTGGAGAGCAGCATGATTTAATCAGTGTGGCTTTCTAACTAGTATTGTGGCTTAGGATCTTGCTGTAATGACTCTGGGGACGTGTGCGTGGCTGCGGAGGAAGGGTTCCAAGGACGAGGCGCGGTAACGCATCCCTGCCAGTCCCACAGCACAGACCAAGAGCACGTGCTGCAGGGAAAGGTGCTTCTGTCCTCGGTGGAGCAACTAGGCAGCACAAATTCCCCTGAACTCAACGATTTTAATTATTGGTTTTAAAGTAAAACTTACTTGGTTGTCTTTGCAGGTACTTTGTGGCAATGGCCAAGGCTTATTTAATAAAATTAAATCTTTTTTAAAATTATTTGAGGAATGAGGTTAATTGTTGAATATATATTATCTATGTAACCATTAGCATACCAAATAAGGAGAAACGTAATTAATTATTTTTCCTTTCAGGTATAATGGAGTTCAGTCTCTTTGGAAGAGCTTATGTAAGCTAATGAATTATTACCTTACCTTTAATAATCCTGATGCTATACATGATTTTGTAGTATTCCAATTGGATCATTTTTAAATTTTCAGACAGGAGCTGATATCTGTGGCTTCTTCAAAGATTCAAAGTATGAGCTGTGTCTTCGCTGGATGCAGCTGGGTGCATTTTACCCCTATTCAAGGAATCACAATCAGAAAGGAACAAGGGTGAGTCGCAGTTTTTAAAATGTTTTAAACATCTGGGCCTTTGTAACACACATATAGAGACCAGCCAGAACATAGCATGAGCTCTTTCTGCTGTAAGCCTCCCCCTCACCTGGGAGCTCTTGTGCTAGCTCATGTGCTTGCTCTGCTGTAAGCCTCCCCCTCACCTGGGAGGTTTCGTGCCCACAGAAGGGCTGCTCTGGGATTTGGACCACTTGAAGGAAGCACATTCTAAGTTTGCTTTGACTGAATCAAACTCCCACGTATTTTTCCCTGTGTGCCATTTCTGTTTAAGCGCACCCCACCAGCAAGACTAAAATAGAGCCCTTTTATGGCAAGC